GGGAGGTGTGTCCGCACCCACGCCCCGCCCCCTCCTGCCAGCCTGCGGCGGGGGCTCCCGAATGACCCTAGCAGAGGGCAGACCAGGCAGCCTTGGAGCCACCTCCAGCCTTGTCTGGGCGCAGCTCCTCCTATGTAGAAGCGATTGAAGCCGGCCTGGACCCCTCTCTTCTAATCTGCTTGTGGAGAGTGGGCCTCACTCGCAGCAGTAAGCATTTATTCATTCATTCCCAGACATTTAATGGTGCTGACGATGTGACAGCCTGGTTCTGGAATCTACTTGTGGGACCACTTCATGACTGTGAAGGAGTTCTCAGTAGTAAAACTTGTTCGACCAACGGACAAGCTCAAAGAAATAATTGATAGAAGCGGAGAGGTGGTGTACCAGGTCCACAGGAAGCAGAAAAGAGGGGGACGGCTAATGGGGAGACTTCATAGAGCTAGGCCTCCAGGCAGAAGGAACAGCATGGACAAAGGCAGGGAGAGATGATGGAGCTTGATGGCTTTGGGAATTATAAATAGCTCAGTATGGCTGCGGTTTGCAGTGTGGGTCCAGGAGAGTGGTGGGAGATGGGGTCCCTGGAAGTCACAGGGACTAGAGAGATTCAAAGAGCCTTGTGGGACTTTCTTAGACTTTGTTTTCAGTCTTGAGGTAATAAATAAGTTGTCAATAGTTGTGTGACTTTGGGAAAGTTACGTAACCTCTCTGTGCTTTAGATCCCTATTTGGTAAATGGGGAAAATAATAGCACCAATATTTTAAGATTATGTGGGGCAGGAAATGAGTAAATACATTAAAATGCTTAGTGTGCTGTGGCTGGCTCATGGTCAGCCCTCAATAATATATCATTATTAATAAGGAACAGGGAGGTGATCTGCTTTGAGCTACAAGATCAGGGCATGTGTGGGGGGCACAGACTAGGGGGGCAGTGATGGGGAAGAGACCAGAGACTCCAGTGTAGGTAGTGGGTGTCAAAGTACTTCCTAGGGACTGGACCCTGAAGGAAGGGTCAGGGTTAGGTGGGCAGACAGTAGGGGCATTCTCAAGTGTGGGAAACTAGTTGTATTGACAAAATCTTGAAATTCAAAATTAGTGAGGTGAACAGTAAAGGGCCCTGTGGGAGAGTGAGCTGGGGGGACAGTGTGGCTGCAGATGGTAGAGTCTTACATGCCAGGAGCAGGAGTTGGGTGTGCCTCCCTAGACAAATCACCAGTTGGCCCTTTGACCCAATGCACCCCTGGGCCAGCTTCCTAGTAAGGTGCCAGCCCTTCAAGGAGGGAAGAAGTAGTCACACCCTTGCCCTTTGAGGAGACTCCAGTAAATCTCAGAGATAGCTATGGTTGGTGTAGTGGAGGAAAGCATGAATTTAGTATTCAAATCTTGAGGTTAAGTCTCAGCTGGGCCATTTACTAGCTGTGCGACCTTGGGCTAGTTACTTAAGGTCTCTGAGCTTAGTTTCCTTTTCTGTAAGATCCTGCTCAAAATACACCTCTGTCGTGAGAGATGGTGCAGATTCAGCAAGATAACAGCCTAGGGGTGAAGGGGGTAGAGAGAGTGCTCAGCTCCTTTGGTTCCCCTTTCTTCTGAGGTCAAGATAGAATGATAAAATGGGGCCTGATGGGGCCATCTCTCAGCCTAAAGGAAAACATTTCAGCAGCTCTGCAAAGGCTTCTGGAAGGGAGAAGTTGACATCTTTCTACCCTGGCTGAGTCAGCTAGCAAAATGGGAAAGGACTGTGGGGATTTGGGGGAAATGCTCTAATCCCTGTCCCAATTTTGTTACTAGTCTATCTTCCCTTAGCCTCAAATGCATTTAATTTTTTCCCCTGGGTTTATGTGGCCCAGAGTATGAACTTTGGAGTCAAATAGACTTGTATTTGAATCCTGGCTCCACCTCTTCACAGCAGAGTGAAACAAATTTTAAACTTCCCTGAACCCCAGGCACAGGTGACAAATCAATAAAGGGCCCTGTCCCACAGAACAATCCTCTAGTGGAAGAGCCAATTAATTTCCAACATCCCCATTCATTTGCTCATTCAACAAATACTTGCAGAGCACCTACTAAGTGCTAGGCACTGTTCTGAATGCTGGAGATGAGGAAATGAGCAAAGAGTGAGCATGGGTCTTGCTTAAGAGGATAAATCAATAAACAGGGCAATTAGATACTGTGTTATAAAGGTGATCAGTGCTTCGTGGAGGAGAGCAGTCTGGAGAGACAGGCACAGAAGGCAGGGATGACAAAATCAGCAAGTGGGGGAGAGTAGTATGAGAGGAAGGAGCCAGAATCTGTAGGGTGCTGTGGACTAGGGATTTTATTACACGAGTTTGGGTTTTATTATATGAATACTAGGGAGCCATTGAAAGATTTTAAGCAGGGAAGTGATATGACTGAGTGAAGGTCAAGAGACCAGTGAGGATGCTTTTGCTAATCCCACCAGTGGTAATGAGAGTGGGATCTGGTAGACAAAGGAGAGCCATGTGACTGCTCTTGGTGAAGGGCCGTTTGTGGAGAGTGAGGCCACAGGAGAAAGCAGGCCTGGTTCTCAGGTATGCTGGAGCACTGGGGGAAAGTATGATGCTCTTTGCTGAGGTGGGACGGCCTGGGAGAGGCTCAAGCTAGGAGTAATGCTCAGGAGCTAGATTTTGGACAAACTGAGTTGAAGATGCCTATGAGACATGGAGATGTCAAACCAGTGTTTGGAGTCACCTTTTGTAGACCAGGCTCAGGGGTTAGATCCGAGGACCTCCAAAGCCTGGAGAACCAGCTTCCCTGTGCAGTGGACTTTAGGAAAGGAAATCATTAGAGTAGGGGCCTTGGGTTTTAGGATTTGGGAGGAAATTTAAAAGGAGCCCTGTCCCTGCCCGGTAGGCTCAAGCACTAGCTTTCTTAGGCTTGGCTACCTGTCTGGTGTGAGGGAAAGGGGAAAAGAGAGGCTGGAGACTCCTGGATGTAGGGAATAAAGCTCAGGACTTTGGGCTGCATTTTGATGGTATGACCAACTGGGCTAGCTTGATGCAAAGTGGGTTGATTGTTGATGACTAAAGGTCTCGAGCTTAAGCACCTTTATGGGTGGGCTGTGCTCTGCTCCTAGTGTCTCCTGGAAAGGGAATGGCCTCTCTTCTCACCTTCATACCTCCTCTCCTCCCCCAGCCTCTGCTTTGAGATGACAGTTTAGAGAAGCTGGTGTGAAACAGTTTGAAACTCAGTCCCCTCTGGGCGTCCCCCAGGGCAGAAAACAGGAAGCCAAGATTAAAGGCAGATTTCCAGCAAAGTCCCCTCAACTTCCTGCAGAGCAGGTGCGGAGGCTGAGCTGATTGTGAGCAGCTTCCCTTGCTGACAGCACTTGGGGCACCCTGCATGGCTGGCCCTCCTGCTGTTGATGCAGTTCTTTGGCCCTATCATCACCTTCCCCATCAGGGAGCTCTGCCAAGCCCTTGGGGAATGAACCTCCTCCAGAGAAATACTGTGGGAGGTGGAAGGAGCAGTCACTGGAAAAGAGGCCTGATGCTGGCACCCACAGGAAACAGCTCTGAGGACACCTGGGGGCAGGGAGA